ATAAATACAACTCTTTCATCGCACATTAGCTCAGTCTTTTAGAACACAGAGCATTTAAGCACATTATACACACTTTGCTATAAACCTGATACAAACCCGAAGTGAACAAAGGCATGGATTTGAAACTAAACCACAGCGGGCAGAAAACCATCAGCACTACTTAGGAATTCAAGACCAGCTGGACAACCAGAAAGATCCAGAGGTTACAGACTGCTTTGGCACAAAACAGTTACACTGCATCTAGGAACAGATGGAGCAGTAAGTATTTATAATTCTTCTAGTTGTTTCCGTTACCATACAATTCGACTTCTGCCTGCCTGTGAGTGACTCGACCGAAACTGAATTTCAGTTGTTGTATTTTCAACCAGATCCCCTGTGTTGGACAGGTAGTGATAAGCAAAGAAACTGTGCCAATTATATCCAAAAAAAGTGGAACGTGGATCCAAGCAATAGCCACACAGATGCTGCAAAGCACTCTCCCCATAACTCCACAGAAAAGCTATTATATCGACATGTACTCAGACATCTGCAAAACCAAAGACAGATTTCAAAGCTGGCTTAAAAAACATACACTGCAAAACTGAAATACGCCACATAACAACTTGTAGTTATCTTTAAAATACTATCAAGCAACATCAGAAATTATACTGCTAATGGTTCGCAGTATTTGCCTCACCGACTAACTGTAATCAAATGAAGACGTTTGAAGTTTAAGCAATGATTCATAAAGACAGTAGCTTGTTACAATTAAAATAAATAACTCATAGTCTTTAGAAACAAATCAGCCCATTACGTGTTTTACAACACCACTGGACACTATGCAGTGACATTTATGAGGACTTAACTACCGTTGTTTCATCAATGAATCAATCAGTAAACAGTAGGTGTACATGATTCAGCGTAAAATAAGTAAAGCAGAAGAGTCACATCTTCAGCTAAAATAAACCAGAATTATTCTGTTCACACAGGAGAAGCCAAACACAGTAACAGCCGAGGAATTCTGCCTTTGCATACTCAGACACATAACTTCACTGTAACTTCAAAATCTTCTGGAAGGGAACTTGTAGCTTGGACTATAAGCCAGAGAATCAGAAACACTGCAATGTAATTGCTTATCCAGATACTTCAGTGAGAGATAAAAACCCCTGGGCACTGCCTTAGCTGATTATCTAGCTGTCTACCAGAGGCCGTCTGCATCCTGTTGAAGAAATTCCTATTTCTACTGTGTAGCTGTTTCGATTTTCCATGAAGAAACTTCTCAAACTACTTAAACTCACAGACTAAATTCCCCCAAAACACTAAAACAGCACCAAGAAATGATCACCTATCAGCTGGGGCTGAATATACTAGCCAGCCCTACAGAAGTCAACCTAAGTCCGAGTTCATAGAAGTTAGGTTAAGCTACGTCACCAGACTTCAATGAAGAGGCCAAAGCACAGACGTGACCTTTTCCATTGGATTTGCTACAGAAGGCAACAGCCTTCAAGAGAAAAGGAGGGCAGGCGTTACAGTTGGAAGTTCAGAGAACTGCCTTTTAACCCCATAGCCATGGTCACCACAAACAAATCTGTCAATGCCCAAGATCAAGCCCATGTCTGCTGCACACGTAGGTTCTATTGTACATCCAGAGTGCAGCAAACTGACTCATGACAGCAATGATTGATTACGGATTAAGTTCCCATACAGTGACCTTTCCTACAAGTACTAATGACAATTAGTGAACATCACCTTCGTGTCAGACTCTGAAAAACAAAAGCCACATTAGAGGCAAGGCAGAAGGAAAGGAATTCATTACACGTCTCTACTTAGATGGGGAAGAAAAGAAGGAAGAATGCTGTTTCTTACTACGAGTTATTTAAAATAAAGTATCAACAAAGATGAGGCAAAGGCAACATTTTCATAACAAGAAGCGTTCTTAACATTTGACCCAGAGATCCTGGCTCTAAATGATTCGCCCAGGTGCTGCAACCCCACACATTAGTGTGGGGATACACACAGAGCAAAATATTTACCCACAGGAAGAGTAGACTTGAAATGTGTTAGAAAAAATAAAAAACAATTTTCAGTCTTAGACTTCTTAGCCTGTTATACCAGCAAACTACCAGAGCTGTGTGTAAATAAAGCCTTGCTTCTTTCTCTGAATCATCCTTCCTTATTTTTACAGCTTGCAAATAAGACATAAGCTGTCCTCTGCTGCCATTTTCACAAGTGATCTTTATGTCATAACACTGTTCTTCTCATTCCACTAGAAGATCAACTGAACAACTGAAAAATAAAACTGATATAAAAGAGGTGCATGTCCAAGAAACACTTTGTACAAAGAGAACACATATTTAAAAAAAAAAAAAAAAGTGTTTTAACTAGCGATCTGCAAAGCGATCTTCTAATTCATCTAAAGAACAAAATCTTTTTTGGTTAAGGATAGCTAGTTCACAGCAACACTGACAGTCCGGGCCACGAACACTGATGGAAGACGTGCAGACATGTTTAAAGTTGCTCCCATGCACACCATGACCTTAATTGCAAAGATCAACAAAAACCGAGAAAACATATCTAGAAATGTTAATTTCATATATACCTTTGTCAAGAATATATTTCATATGAGTGTTAACTGGAGCACTTTTTCCTCTTGTCAACTTCAAGCCTCAGGCGTTAGTCAAAGCGTTTTTCAAACTTCACAAGAAATGCTCACAGACCACTTCAGAAATGAACAAAAGAAAAGATCTGAGACTGCTTTGAACACAGTCCTCTAGCGCGTATGTTCTGTGAAACACCACAGAAACACCAATCCTGAAGCTGAGACATAACTCATGAGAAAAACGCTGGGTTTAATGAAGTTTTAACCTCACCTCTGTCCACGCGTTCTGCGTGATCCACCCAACTCTGGATGTATTTTACAATACTCAATACTCGATCTTTCCTTCTATCGCTGACACAACCCTACCTTCACTGTTACCACTCTACTACATCATTTTTCTCTCAGAATCACAGAGGGACAAAAGAAACAAAGTCAAAGACAGTAAAGGGGCAATTAGGCTCCCGAAGAGAAAGCGTGCCTCGCTTTGCATAACAATGCCCGGCTCACACGGCAGCGACAGCCCCACCTCGGACTGGTGCACTACCGAGGGAACTCGGCTCCAAAACGTGCGTTTGCCTGGGCCGCAGAGGCTGTGGGTAACGTTAAATGACGCGAACAAAGTGGAAACAAAACAAAAGAGATTGCAAATGGCACAATGCGGTGTCACAGGTCCTACGTCACTTTTTGCAGAAAGCGCGCACACTACTTCCAGCGGTAAAAATAAAAATCAGCTGAATGAATAAATAAATAAAAACCAATCGCGTTTTACCGTTTCCTTTCTTTGGCCATTTACTTACCCGAAGTATTCACGGAAAGACAAAAAGAGAGGTGTTCACCGAAGTTCGGCCAGGCTGCGTGTCACGAACAGCCGACGCCGAAGCGAACCGCGCGGCCACACCAACCGACACGGAACGACGCTATTTACTCAATAACGATGCGCGAATGGAGAAAGGGAAAAAAAAAAAAATCATTTAAAGGTAACTTTGGCCGCAGCCTGAAGGACCGTAACTTTCCCAGCTGTGTGCAAACATAACAAATTTTGGGGGGGAGGGAGCAGGCAGGACCCGAAGCCCGCCGTCGGCTCCGACCCCGCGCGCGGAGCTCCCACACAGCGTCCGCGGGACCGTTACGCGCCGCCCGCGCGGGGCAGGGCAGCGCCTCGGCAGCGCCGCGCGGTTTCCGGCCCGGCCGAGGAACGTAGGCCTCGGCGAGGCGGCGGGCTGCACCCCGCCGGGCCCCGCGCGCCCCTCCGGCCTTTCTGGAAAGTTTTCGCCTCCGTCCAAAGGCTCCGCAGAGCGGGGAGACGCGGCCCCGCTCCTTTCCTCCGCCCGCCCGAGCCGTACGGATCCGTACCGCGGCGGGGCTCGGCGGCGATCGCGGCGGGCGGGCTCGCCCCGGGGCGCGCCTCAGGGCAGAGCCCAGCCCGGCGTCCCGCCGGACCGCGCCCCCGCCTCCGCGTCACGGGCACCGAACGTGTCCGCGAGCGGAGGGGCCGCTTCCTGATCTTCCTCCCGCCCCGGCAAGGAGAGAACTTTTCCAGGTGCCGAGCTGTGTCGGCGCGGCAGGGCACTGAGCGGCGCCGCGTCCCGTAGCCGCAGCTGGGGCAAAGCCTGGTGCGATCCAATAACAAAAAAAAAAAAAAAAAAAATTTCCGCGCACACCGGAAATAAAACGCTTTTCGCTTGGAAAGGCGATCGCCAAACCGCGAGCGCACGTTGTGTGTGTGTGTGTGCGTCTCTGTGTGTGTGCGTCTGCGTCTCTGTGTGTGTGTGTCTGTGTCCGTGCGCCTGTGCCTCTGTGTCTGTCTGTGTGCCGCTGTGCTGGGCGGGGGCCGGGCAGGCGCGGTGCCCGCGGAGATCGGACCGGAGGCAGCGGAAGCCCCGCGCGGGGCCGCGGCCCTCCCCGCCTCCTTGCCTCCCTCCCGCGCCGTGACAGGCGCCCAGCTCGCGGCCTCCAGGTGCCAGCAGCGTCGCGGGGACAGCACAGCACCCCGCTCCGCCGCAGGACGCCCCAACTTACCCGGGCCACGCAGCAGGGGCAGGCGGCTCTGGGCGCAGCTCCCCGCTCCGACTCCGTCCCCGCTGAGGACGGAGCGAAAAACCGCGGCCGAATCGCGCGGCTCGCAGGGGTTCGCGGTCCCCTTCCCCCGACGATACGTGTGGGGTTTATTCCACCGACACCGCATCCAAACTTTCTTCTCCCCGCGCCGCGCTCGCGGTGCGTACACCGGGGTGTACCGGGCGGGGGGCGGCCGAGGCTGCGCTCCAAGAGCGAGCGGGGCGGCTGTGCGGAGCTGACGGCGCGGGGCCCCGGGGGGCGAGGCGCGTTTACCTTCCGCTCGGGCGGAGCACCGCACCGGGTGTCGCGCCGCTGCCTCTGGGCGAGCAGCGGAGCGGGGCCGGAGAGAGGCTAGGCGCCGAGCATGACTTCACCGGTGACAGCCATTCCCTCCGCTTCCCAAACTCCGGCCCCGCCCACGGCCCCCCTCCGCCACCTCCCCGCGCCGACGCCGCCGCCGCCGCGGCTCAGGAAGCGCCGTTCCCATTGGTCCGCCGGCGGGGACTGCCCGCCCCTCCGCGCTGAAGAGGCGCCCCTATTGGCCGCTGCCCCGTCGCTCATCCGGGAGACCGTGGAGCGGAGGGTGCGGAATGCGCCCTGCTCCGTCCGCGACAGCCGAGCCGCCGCCAGACTCCGCCGCGCCGCCTCCCGGCCCGCCCGCGCGGAGCGGAGCGCGGGCCTGGGGCCACCTCCGTGAGGAGGCGCCGGCGGGCGGCGCGGGGATAGGTGGAGAAGGTGCTGGAAGCGCGATGCTGCCCCACGGCCTGCCTGGGCCGGCCCGCCGCCGCGGGGCGGAGCGGGGAGGAGCCGAGCGGAGGGCGGCGGGCGGCGGGGCGTCCCGCACCTGGCGGCGTGCGCCGCGGGACACCTGCCTGCGGAAAGGGACGCACGCACAAACAAAAAAACTCGCGGAAAGGCGTTAACGAAACTTCGGGGCCGCGGCCGTGGCGCGGCGAGGAGGCGGCCGACAACATTCGGGGCGGCCGCCCCCCGTCCCGCCGCGGCGCCGCGCCCCGCCGGAGCCCCGTGCCAACGGGAGGCCGCGAGGAGCGGCTGCAGATCGGTGACGGCGCAGTGCGGGCGGGTAAATGGCGCCGTTGCGCTGCGCTCGGCACGCCGCCCGCTTCCCGGGCCGGAGGGGCTTTATCCGATCCCGGCCGCGTACCCACGGGAGGCGGCGCGTCGCCGGTGCTGTTGGCGGAAGGTACCGCTGTTTATGTAACGGCGCCGCGGGGCCGCGCTCTGAACAGGCCGTCACGGGCTGCTCAGACACGAGCACGCCGGCAGGCAGAGTGGGGCGATGCGCGCGGTCCTAACCCCGTCACGAGGAAGGAGCCTGCTGCTCTGCAGGTGGTGTGCCTGTCCTGCGGGCCGCACGCTTTGCGAGAGGTCAGTTTAAGGTGAAGGAAAGCCTGCCGCTCCCCTCACTCGCCTGCGTTTAACGTGATGCTGCGCTGTTGGAGTAAGTGACCGGGTGTAAGGACCCGGAGCACCGGCGGGTGTTGTTCTGCGGCTGCTTTGGACCTTTATTGCTGGTGGAATGTGAGCGGTAACTACCCGGTTATAACTTACCGATGCAGTGCTAAGGTCTGTTATGTGTCTTCCGACGTGTGGCCGCTCGATCCTTAGCTTCGTCTTGATTGTTGCTCGAATTCACTGCCAAAATGCCGTTAGATAACTGTCAGACAATTGGTGGTAACGCCGGGAAGCGCTGAGTGTCCAATAAAACAACTAGGGAAGGTGCTGTTCTCAGTTCATCACTCTTTTTGTGAGCGACATGGAGAAAATGAAAGAAATGGAAAAGCTTTCAAATCTGTGTATACAAGTGTCCACAATCGCTACTTAAAACTGTGATCCACCAGTGATGTGAGACTTAAGTTTAAACTCGCTTTCTAAGTTGCAGTCCAGCGTCTTGGAATCATAGCTCGCGTTCTTGGGAGTTGATTCTAACACAAATGAAAGGATTCTTCCTCTTTCCTTTCATTTTCATCTTACCGTAACTATAAACAGGTGTCTGGTGGGCAGATTCTTTGGATGTTTGTTTTTATCAATTCCCAGGGTTAATCTGCAGGCCCTGCGCTTTTTCCATGTGTCCAAAATGGAAAGCAAACACCAAACAATGGAGTGGAAGCTTCTGTGCTATGTAGCACAGTATGCCAGCTCTTTAACTTGGCAGTATTCAAACGATTACAAACCAGCTCAAGCCAGTTTTTGTGGGTTTTTGGTTTTTTTTTTTTTTGATTGGTTGTTTTTTTTGTTCTTGTTTTTTGTTTGTTTGCAAGAAAGGATACAGAAAATAAAGAAGAAATGCAAAATTAGGCTTTGAGATAAGTGTACCTATGTTTAATAAACAATTACCTTTATTTTAGGAGGGCACTGCAGCCAATTTTCTTGCCTCTGTTTGGAACAGCTAAGCTTCAGATGAGTGGGTATATTGTTAATGTCAAACTTTTTCCACTTGCTCTTTGGTAAAGTATGAATTAATCTGATTAAACCCGACTGAGAGTTTGGATTTATTTTTTTTGTCAGGATCAAAGAAAGGACATTCAACTAATCTAAAAATACTTAGTGAAATTGATAGGATCGATAACAGTTTTGTGCATGAGACTTGAGTGGGAGAAGCTTAATGAATAGCAAAATGAAAATATTAATTAGTTTCCCACTGATTAATTTGTCTTAGCAAAACTTAAAAATGTGAGGGCAAATGATAGCCATCAGGGAGCTGCAGTTACAGTTGCAGCTTGCCTACCACTACCTCAGAAAAAAGCCTTGCTGCAACAAATTGTGTTGATAGTTCTCTGCCACAAGTTACAGCCATTGCAGCAGAAATGGCAGAAATCAGGGGCTTGTTTGTTTGTTTATTTTAGTGCCTCAGTCCTCAGCAAAGTCCAGCTGCTAAGGTTAGATGGATAGTGAAAATGAGTTAAAGCTATGACATTCCATGGAGGTGGCTACATGCTCAGGTTTCTATGCAATTAACAACAATGGATTATTATTTTTTAAAATACCCAGGGAAGCCTTAAGTGAGCAAGTGAAGACTTACTTTAAGAAAATAGATGTCTGATAGTTTCTGATAATGTTGATTGCTGTTTTGGTAGAGAGTATTTACCTCAAAACGCCTAGAGGAAAGGCCTATTTACATGCTTGAACTTTAATGGAAGTTTTGAAAGGTGAAAATGGGGTAAAGATGAGATATTTCTTGCCATATGGTGAAGTCATTTAGATCATCATCATCTGGGGACCTCAGACTGGCCTCCATGGGTTTTCTGCAATAAGGGAATGTCTGATGTTACACATCAAGATAGTTCATGTGCCTGGCTTACACCAAAGAGAAGCAGCAGCCTTTTATTTTTTTTTCTTTACCTTCCACTCCCTCCCCACCCCCTTTCTCCTTTCTGCTAAGGAGTCAACGCAAACCCTGTGATGATTAAGTAAATTATTGATATAAGAAACCCTGGAAAGTGTCTCTTTTACTTGTACTTTCTGCAGAAGTCTTCTTATGTCTTGTCCATTATGTATTGGAGACAGTACTTCTTATTGCTGAAGCACGTGAAACTTAGAAGGAAGGATATTCTACCTACCCATGTATTGATCTGTGGTACATAATATGGATGAGTGTGACAGATTCCATTAAAAATGGCACATCATAGCCTGATATAATTGACAACAAAGCAATTAATTAGATATGACTAGAATTTTTCTTGCTCCTGTGGAAGAGGTAATAGTTATTTAATTTATATTTTCAATTCTAAATTAACTTTCATGAATGTGTTTGGTATGTCTGACCATTTTTCCCTTCGTCTTTGTTTTTTTTTTTTCTCCTGAAGATATAAATTTTCCTCGACTTTCCTCATAGGTTTAGAAGAGAGAGTATCTTTCAAAGTATCTTCATTTGCTTTAAACTCTCAAGGTGTGTTTATTTGTATGTGATGTCCAGAAGATAATATTCAGCTGAGATCTTCTCAAAGCTAAACAGTGGAGAACAAATAGAGGGGAATAATTATTTAGTTTGTCTAAGGAGTGTTTATGAGTGCATTCCAAAACAATTGGTTTGTCTGTGTGTGAGTGGTACTACATTTGTGTTTGTTTTATGGTCTACCCAATTCCATTGCTTCATTTTCTTTCTTACTCTACGGAAAAGCAGAGGCAAATGGAGTTGATCCTGTGCATTTCCTTGCTTCTTCTAGAAGTTAGCATTTTGCTTCCTACCCAGGTAGTCCAAGTTTTGTGTTCATGCAAGTGTTTTATTTTGTACTTGATTTTATTGAATTGACAAGCTGGTGCTTGTCTCTGAGTACAAGGTAAAGTGCTTACTGTAGTGTTCCCACTTGTAGAACTGTGCAAATCGCAGTGCAGTGGGGGAGCACATAAGGAAAATTAACACAGGAGAATATTTATCATGTAAGCAGCAAAGGCTGTGAATGTACTGTACTGGAAAAAATAAACAATGTGTGATTATGATTATTTGGGTGATTCAATTTAATTAAGATAAAAAGAAAACGTAGAGGACATTTCATTTATTACAGGTTCTGTTCTACTTCATGGTATATATTATACTTCATGGTATATATATAGGTAAGAAATAAATGAGTTTAGGCAATAGTCTTTTGAAGGGGTGACTTTCACAAAAATTCTGGATAAGACACTGTTACATATATTGATTGCTCCGAAAGTAATGCCACTTATTTATTCCCACGGAAACTAAGACAGATACAAAGAGCACAATAACACCATTTGATAGTGCAAATTCTCAGCTACAAAACACTATTTTTCAACGTAGTTTGCCACCATTAGCTGTGTTTTTTCACTAACAATGAACAAGAGCCTGCATGCTGTGCTTACAAAAATCTGCACCAGGAGAGGAGAGCCACTGTCACTGTTGCCACTGCTACTGAAACACACCACCCACTGCCTCACTGTGCTAACATCCATTTGTTGGTCTCTAGAAACACTCAGCGAGCATCAGTCTTCCAGTAACAAATGTTCACCCAAAACAAAGATGGAGAGGAACTTTACAAAGGCATGTAGCGATAGGACAAGAGATAAAAGCTTTAATCTAAAACAGGCTAGATTTAGATTTGATGTCAGCAAGAAATTCTTCACAATAAGGGTTCTGAGGTACTGGATCAGATTGCCCAGAGAAGCTGTGGATATCCCATCTTTGGAGGCTCAGGCCTACGCTGTATGGGCATCTGGACAGCCTGATCTAGTGGGAAGTGTCCCTGCCCATAGCACAAGTTTTGAAACTAGTTTCATCTTGAAGGCCCTACAAAAACCATTCTGTGATATCAGATGCATGGAAATGAAATATGGTTGCTTGGTAATGAGGGTACGTGAGGGTAAGGTATGGGGCTTGATTTCAGCTAAAATATACTGGCATTGTCAACTCCTAATTTAATGTTCACACTCTGGGTAGGCTGTAAGAATAGTTGGCTTTTTATCTTCGCTGAGTTGATGTTAAAGTCAAAATAAGTCATTCACCATGGGACTATATACAGAGCATCCGTAGATGAACACTACAGATATAAAGCTATTAGAGAAGGAAGGCTATGGACATTGAGAAATATCTGAAGGGCAAGATGAGGAGCAACTGAGGTCTCTGGGTGTTCTCAGCCCCGAGCTGAGCAGGCTGAGGGAAGGCCTCATGGCAGCTGCAGCTCATCATAGGAAATCCAGCTCTGTGTTGACAGTGACAGGACCTGAGAGAATGGCATGGAGCTGTATCAGGGAAGGGTCAGGTTGTGGAATCTCCTTCTATGGAAATTATTAGAGATCTTTCCTGTGCAACCTTCTCTAGGAAATCTGCTTTATCAGTATTTGGTCTAGGTGATTTCCAGAGATTCCTTCCAATCCCTACATCATTTTGTGATTAGAAAAATGTTATTCACTAAGAAGGCGGTCAAGCGCTGGCGCAGGCTCCCCAGAATAGTGATCACAGACCCAAGTTGCCAGGGCTCAGGAAGTGTTTTGACAATGCCATCAGACACATGGTTTGAATTTTGGGTGATCCTGAGTGGAGGCAGATTGTAGTTGATCCTCGTGAGTCCCTTCTAGCTCACAATATTATATGATTTTATGAAAATTGCTGAATATAGAAAGGGACATCCATCCATAATAATTCATATAAGTGATTAGTAAATCAGTTAAAGCCTTAAATCCATATATTTTCAACAAATCAAAGATATCTCTATAATAAAAAGATCTGTGTGCTGTTTATAGAGTCTTTAATAAGTTGATCAACTGTATACTTGTTCCTAATCTATCGCAGGTAAATTCTCTTAACTTACCATGTTTTGTGGGGTTTGTGTTCGTTGCTGCATTTTCTTGCTTTCTTCATGAATTAGAGCCTGTTCACCCTTAGCAATCCTCTTCACTGGCCTGTAAGCTTGCTAGACTCAAACTTGTGGAGCACTATTTTATTGCAAGACATTTTAATCTCCTTGAGTCACTTAGTTGCATAAGTCATTATGATGTGCTTAGAAGCTTCAAGGTAAGGTATTTTTACTGTCCAGTTTGTCTTGTGCAACAAACATTATGTTATACAACTGAGATAGCTAAGGACATCAAGCTATGCAGTTTGTTCTCAAAACAGCTGTAGCCTACATGTTGTCTTCATACTTTGGAAAACACTGCATTTATTAATTCTTGAAATGACATATGAATATTGAAAAGGCTGTCCATAGATGGGACTCAGCAGTGAAGACTGTACTTACAGTTTTGCTAGATACCTTCTGTGAGAAACTACTGAGATCTTCTGATTGTACAAATACCACTCTTATGACAGCTGTTGTGTAGCACATCTCAGACCCCAATTCTATTTGATTCACACAGGATGTTTTAGTACTACACTAACTTGTTGGCAATCTTTCTTTCCCACTCCCATCAGCCATATTACTAACCTTTGGTGTGGTGGAGTCAGGAGAAAACAGCATGTTCTTGAGGCTTGTCTACCTCATTCTTAAAGTGTTCATAAACTACTGGTGGAGGTTGGACTCCACTACTCTAGTGGCAATCATTATAGCTAAAGTGCAGATATGGCACTGCTTTTGAGCCAAAGCTGTGAAGTGGTGAATTCTACCATGGAGCTCTGTCAATTTGTGGGGATGTGGAACAGGCTTTTGCATTGGTCTTGCAACGATGTGGAAGAGGAGCTTGTTGTTAGGGCTGGTTAGGCATCTGGCCATATGCTGATGGGCTTAAATAAGTTCCCAGCTGAGGAGGTATAGCATGGAACTGAATGTGTATATTGATGTTTTAAAAAATGAGTGAATGTGTGTTTCAATAGTAAATAGTAAAAAGTATTGATTTAAGAGAACACTAAAGAGTGTTGCCTGAAAAAGAGAAACTGAAAAAAGAAAAAAGATACTGTCACTGCCCATTTCACAAAGTCACCCTGCTCTTTTGTTGAACTGGAAATAAAATCTGATGAAGAAACTGTACATTGTGGTGGCTGGGACACTCCATTGCCGTGGCTAGCAGAAGATGGAACAGCCTGTGTTTGTAATGTCTTTAACTGCTGCAGCAGTGTACTGCAATACCTATGAGTCAGAACCCTACATCTCTTTCCAAGCACTCTTTAACCCCCAGATAGAATGCGGGAGAGTGTTATCACATTCAAAACATGAACTTATTAGACTTCAAGGCTTCTACTAGTCTGAAAACTCCTAACTATCTCAAAGAAAGCTTTATGCTTTGTTCCTGAAACAGAGAGTCATCCAAACTATATTTTAATGAGGGAAAAAAAAATATCTTTTTAAGCTTTATTTATTTATTTATGTGTTTGTTCTTTCACGTGTGAATGAAGGAACAGAACTGATACTTATATTGAGTAGCCTGAAAATAGCTAATTCCTGATAAAGATAGTCAGGATTTAAGTTCTGGTGACAAGCCAGTTACCTATAGTTTTCAAATACTCTGTTAAAAACTATCAAGAAACAGAAAGGATTTTCTTTCTTTCACTTTCCATACTCTGTATAAAACTGTTGCAGTTACTCAGCTCTTATGTATTTCTGGTAATTCTACCACTTCCTAAAATTACCTAGAGCTTCTCTGTCAAATGGGTTTAATGGGGACTTTTTTGCTCTAAAATATACACAGAATGATCTCTTAAGAGCAATGACATAGATCTGTAAATGGGAGGCCATTCCCAAAATTAGGGAAAGATTCAGTTGTTCTTTGTTATCTGAGGCAGTTATTGATGCCATAAAGACTTTCAAAGGACATGAAAACACTTGAAAACTATTACTGCAAGATATTACAAAGAAGGAGGCCACAAAATCTTGACATGCTAATACTTAGGAAAAATTAGTTAAGTATAAAACCTCATGTTTTGGTTGTTCAAGTTACAACATGAAAGTATCAATGAAAATAGACGATCAAGGAACAGTGGAGAAGTGTCTGTCATACAGAACTAAATCTAGGGGACTTGCTAATTCCAGTTAATATAAAATAGTTATCTGTATTACTTACTGGCCTTTTCTTTTACATCCTATTTAGCAAAATAAATGGATTTTTGTGGGAATATCAGGGATGTGTTCCTGTCCCACAGTATTGCCACCATTTACTCTGATAAACACTCATGATAACATTAAGGACTGTGGCTGTGCACCATTTGCCTCTGTTGCCATCAGCCTTTTCACAGGGCTTGGCACTGTGAACAAATTATCACACATTATTGCACACAGATGCAACTCATATTTTATGAAAAGTATGGATGCTGTATGCATGCTGAAGTTTCAGTTCATGTATGCTAGCAATAGTTAATGCTACATGCTGCAATCTGTGGTATGTAGACTGCCATGCAGCACAGGTACATAACTGTACTAAGCTTCATGGTTAACTCAATAAGAAGGATTTAAAAAAACATAAAACACCACATTTTGCTTTGAGTTTCTGAAACTCTGTTTAGACTGGATCCTCTATGAACCATTAGCAAGGAAGAAGACAAGTTTATGAGTGGGTAGATAGAAGTGGTCTGAGCAAAAGTGGGCAAATAACTATCCCCTCTGTAACAAAAAAAGATCACATTTAAAAGACAAGTGGAAACTAGTATTAGCTGTTGTTTAAAAGAGCCCCTGGAACAAGAAAACTAAAGCAGCACCATTTACAAGAAAATATGCTAATACGGCCTACTCTTAAGGGGAGTAACAAGAAAATAAAGAAGTCTAGTGACAGTGTAATTGAGATGTAGTTACATAAAGCCTGAAACAGACATAAAAGACTGGAAATTTCTAGAAATCTCTTGCAAAGCAATCATTTTCCTGCATGACAGTAAACATTTTGTTTGCTCTTAAAAAGATTAATAAACAAAAATCACAGAAGTGGTGCATTATTGTTAATTAATAAATTAGGATTTGTAATCATAACTCCCTCCTTCTGTTTGATTGTTGGTGATAAACGTTCTTGCAAGGGGAAAAAATGGATGTAATCTGTGATTACAGGTATCTCTATCCTCTCCATCTTCTTCCTGCATTCAGCTACACTGCTGCTTCCAGCTACTTTCCTATACAAAGCATGCTGCTTAGACAGGACTGAGCGTGCTGCCTTTTCTGTTTATGTGGGAGATAGCCAGTAGTAGAAATGGACTCAGTGCCTTGTTGCTAATGCTTGTTTCTGCCACCACCTTACATCCCTCAACTTTTTCCTCAGCTGCCACAGTTATGTAAGTAGAAGGTAAAATCAACTGACTGTTCAGGTTGCAGATGACACTAAGGAAGCTGACTGCTGTCTTCTCAGCACAGGCAAAGCAGGTATTCTGCTGTTTAGCTGCTGCTTGCTTTTCCTGAGCCAAAAGTGCATCCTGTAAAAGTGCAAGACTTCAAACAGGCTAGGTCTTTGACACTTGGAAGGAATTATATTGGGAGCAATTCTAAAAGAAAGAAAATGCACAACCATTGCTGCCTCTGAATCCACTACAGGAAGGACTTTCACAAATAACTCCTGAGAACATAGATGTTGCAGAAATCCTTATGCAGGATAGATCCAAGCCATTAAACCTAAAAGTACTGTTGTATTTGATTCTGAAACCATCCAAAACATAAAAAAGAAATTACCCACTTAAAAACAAATTAGATGGTTGGACAAACTTCTAGCTGTTCACGATGCTTGGCAAATTTGGCCTACACAGGAGCCCCATAAACCTGTACATATAGTCAGTTAAAGATTTCTGGATGGAAGAGATTGGACCATGTGAATGAGTAATATCAATAAGATATTAGGAGCACAGCCGTGTTTCAGTTCATGGGCAAAGTTGTTAAAATCTCATGGACTATTGAGGAATAACCCAAATACAGTGGAGCAGTGGGTTGTACAGCTGTGAAGTCAGCACCCACAGAGTAGCACTCACAGAGCATGGGACTACATTACCCTGAAAAATCTGGCAGGGTTTCTCTGAGATGCAGCTTCACTATCAGCATTGTTAATGTATTCATACCTATCCTCTTCTCCCTGTCCTGTTACGTACCAAATTCGCTACAATTTGACTTTTCTGAAGAATTAAGGATCTCAGCAGAGAATGTTGCTACTTCTAAATACCCATTTTCTGTTTTGTTTGTTGTTCTTCGTTTGTTTGTTTTTGTTTTGTAGCTGTTCTCGAATATAAAGATGAACCTGAGACCTGACACTGACTTCTCTGTTCCTAGTTAGTTATGAAAGTCTGTCTGGGAGAAGAATGGAGATCTGCATTTTCAAGGGAAGAACAAAGGAGAGTGAAGACTGGAGACAGTACAAGAGCAGGTAAGAATGAGAGACACCATGCTGGAAATGAAAAAACAAGAAACAAAAAACCCAGAGTTAATACTTATCCATGGGAGAAAATTCAGGCCAAGGAATGTGAAATGGGGGCTCCTGGCAGCTAGTGGGAAGTCTAGTTGACTGAATCAGTTCTTTTTCGTCCTCATGGCTACTGCAGCTTTTGCTGATAGCTGTTGTAGTACTTCAAAACTCATTTCTATGCAATGTTTCATCAGGTAGGTGTTTTTGGTAGATTCCGCGTAAGTAACTTCATGTAGAAGCTGTTGTGACTACAGCTGGATAAAGGATGATCTCAGGGATAAAGGAAACTGCAAAGAGATTGTAAACAACTCACCCTCTTAACACACTATCTTGGATTATTTACACTTCTACACTATTTTCTATTACAGTCAAGGCAGTGATAATTAATTTAAGAAACAAGTACTTTACCAGTTCTGTGATACTGGAGAGGTTAAAGCTGAACTGAGGAAAGTCAGCCAAGAGATCTCAAATTTCAGTCATTAAGAAAGTGTCATTTTCCAGGCAGTGTTATTCAATGTGTAGGTGGATTGTTTCTTTTACACTGTGGGATCATTTTACTCAAGAACCTTTCTGACTATTAACAGGCACTGGTGAGTAGAAAATCTGCTGTGAAAAGGACTGATATTTATCATGAGCCTTGCAAGGAACTAGAGCATCACACAGATCAGTCAGGTTCAAGCATACTGGTTTTTATGTCACGCTGTCTGACCAGACTTTGACAGAGACCCTTAGGAAAATAAAGCACTGATTTAAAAAATAAGCAAACAAAAATAATTGTACAAATGGGAGTTGAGGCATCACAGGTAGAACTTTGTCTGTTTCTGAAAGCACACACATTTTATATAGGTCTGTCTTAGGAAATTATTTCCTTTCCAGTTTAGATAACAGCAAATGAATTCCTGCCAAAGGGTACTGGAACTATACTGCGCACAACCACCACATTTTTCTTGTTCATTTCTTTTGTGTGTTGTGTTAAAGAAAACAGCATGGATTGGCTCTGGGTGCTAAACTGGGTTTGTAAACTGTACAGACACTTCTGCTGAGATCCCTAACACTGCCCTTCTTTTCAAGTATGCAGAGCTATGTTGACAAATGATGTTAGAACTTCTGTCTCAGCATGCCACAATTGTGAACCTTTTTTTCACTAGTGTAATTTGGCCAAGCACCCAAATTCTTGCAAGACAGATGATCTCCACTTTGAAAACACAAAGGCCTACAATTACCCTAATGCAGTATGCTCATGGCGTATTTCTCCTATGTGGTCTATCTAGTGGAAGTATTGAATCTGTTGACATGGTAAATCTCCTTTTCCCTGAACTGCATGAATTAACTGCTGGAAGTTAATTGGAAGTGGTATTTCCAAGGCCTTCTATGACAACATTTCCAACATGAATGATGACAGGCATCTTTAAAAAGTTTTGGTTTTCAATTCAGTTTCCATGTACTAAAAATTTCTTCTGAAAATCGAGCTTTCCCAAAAAATGCAATGAAAATAAGCAGTGACTTATCCTTGTAACAACTTGTTCAGCAACTTCATGTGGGTGGAAATGTTTGCAGGAGATTGTCCTTTGATTTCTAATACAAGTAGAGCTTTGTAAATGTGTTCAAATGACATGCATATTGATTTGTTTGTGCCTAGATCTTACTCAGGATTGGATACATATACAAACCTCATGTTACATCTACAGTATTGTACAATGAACAGCTTTAAAGATTTGTTAAGATTTTCCATCCCATGGAAATTCTGCCATCCATTTAATCATAGAACTTCGTAATGCAACTCTTTTTGTCCCACCTTAAAAACACAATATAAATCCACTACAACATCTGTCTGTGCTAGTTTTGCCTTGCAGGTAGGTTGTTGATTGGGAAGAACTATGACTTTATTTTGTTTCTTAAAAGCCAGGTTTTATTTTTGATTCATGCATTTCACTAGTCATCTTCTTCAAGGTCCACTCTCCACACCTATTTTTTGGCCAAATTTAAGACAGTAAGATGGGACCAAATAGTGGCTGAGTCACTTATGTTGTGTGCCAACAAGTTGCTCATTTGCTGATTGGCCACCTGCCTTCAATCTAGATTATATCATTCCAGGGAGCTGCTCCAGCTGGCCAGAGATTGGGGAATAAGAGCTGTAGTCAAGGATACCTGCAAAGTGCTGGGAGCTGCAGTGAAGAGTCTGTGAAGAGAAGCACAGAAAAAGGCAAATTAGAGGGAAGGCAAGGGAAAAATAGAAGTGATGAGCCAATTTCTGATCTCAGCATCACTGATGTCACCAATCAGAATCTGGTCCACAGAGCGCTAGGGAAAGAAGAGAGAAACGGGTCAGAGGGAAGATATGTGGAGGTGACAGAGGGGAGATAATTAATCATTCCTCAACTGTAATCTTAATGACTCCTCTGCTTTAATACTTGTAATGCCTCTTACAAAGCCAAGAGAACAAAATAAATAAAATTTTCCAAAGAGTCTGGCGTGTCTCTCGTAGCAGCTCCAGCAATGATTTTTACTGATGGCAGACTCAACCGCAGATCTATCAGAAAAGCAGTGTGCTCAGAGGTAATGTGAAAAAAATATATTTAAATATCTTCATGCTTAGGGTGAAATCATCCAGTAACAGACTGCTGTCTACTGAAGACTTATCTTGTGCCATTTCCTAAGCATTTCTGAGGTTGCTTAAATTGCTTGCATGCTAAAGACAAAACAATGCCAACAGCCTTTTTTTTTTGTATTTTAACACATTCGATTGCAATGTCTTAAAATGTATTCCCCGTATGGAAAAAAAAAAAGAAAAAGAAAAAAAAACACAAAAAGGCAAAAATGTAGCCTTCCTAAAATATCCTCTTATGAAAAAGTGTATATATTGGAATTATTTCGACAAATTAAAATAAAATAAAGCAAATGTTATGTTTTGTGCAAGAATTTCTCAGTTATTTCAATGAAAGTAGCCTTTTCTCTACTAAAATAAGTAACTTCTGAATGTATTTTTCAAGCTAAAAATATCATTTTTTATGAATTGTTCACTTATAATTACTCATTTTCAAAATCTTTCATTTCATAAACATTTGCCCCAGCACCATTTTTTTTGTGGCTGATCTGCAGTGATATGCTCATGACCGACCGGCTTCTTTCCGCATCTGCAGTACTGCGTCCAGGCCTGGGGCCCCCAGCACAAGAAGGACATGGAGCTCTTGGAGCGGGTCCAGAGGAGGGCCACTAAGATGGTCAGAGGGCTGGAGCACCTCTCCTGTGAAGAAAGGTTGGGGGAACTGGGCTTGTTTAGCCTGGAGAAGGCTGCAGAGAGACCTCATTGTGGCCTTCCTCAACTTGAAGGGAGCGTATGAACAGGAGGGGGAACAACTGTTTACATGAGGGTGGACAGCGACAGAACAAGGGGGAGTGGTTTTAACTAAGACAAGGGAGACTGAATTTAGATAGTAGGAAAAAAATTTTCACTCAGAGAGTGGTGACACATTGGAACAGGTTTCCCAGGGAGGCTGTAGATGCTGGTATGATTCAGTATTAAAAATACACATCAGAAGGGAAAACAGTTCTCCCTAGAGAAGACACCATTGTCTGAAGTAGATTCTAAAACAAGGCTTTGGAATTCTTTGTCCACAGTTTGGAGAGCAAGTATCTGGTTTTCAGAAAAGCTGTGTCTGAGAAGTCCCATTGATCTCAGGAAAAGTCAGCACTGTCTCCTTTTCCTTCCATGTGGATCCTTGAGGCCTGGTCTAATAATAAGATTTGCTGTGTTGTTTTTCTCACCACTGCATTAGAATCTGCAGTATAGTTTGTGGGTTTTTTGCCTTAATTCCTTTGAAAAAATGAAATGATATATAGTGAATTTAAAGAATATATACCACAAATTCATCATATACGTTTTTCTATGAGGCTAAAATTTTATTTGACCTATTAGAAAGAATGGTAATTGGTGTCATTCAAATTAGTATATCTTCCAAGAGAGTAATCAGGATGTGTACAATATTTTCTTTCATTCACGTGATTGTACAACATTATCTTGTGTTTTCTCTACAAAAAAAAGCAAAAAACAAAAAACAAACAAACAAAAAACCCTGATACTTCAGGTTATCTTTGTAGTTCATAGACATGCTTCTGGTCTATCCACAAATCATAACACAGTGAGAGATCTTGACAGGAAAGACACAATCTCTCCAAGTAACACCTTTGTTCTAGTTTAGTAAACACGCTCAGATACTGAATGGAAAAATTCTTGGGAAAATTCCCACTATTTCTTGGCAGAAATATGGGAGAGCCTGTTGTTTCTCATTTTTTTATAAACCAGGTTGGTGTAAAATGTAGTCTCTATACAGCTTAAACCAAAGCACAATCTTCTTGTAAGGTACAGATGCTACATAATCTTAGGAACTGAGCTTACGTAACGACGTTGGAGCTGATGCCAATCTTGATGTTTCACTTTACAAACACTGTACAATAATCAGTTCTATAAGTAATTTGATCTTTGTTCCATAATAAAATTACTTGATCAATTATTTCTGGCGTCTTTATTCCAGATATTCAGCTATTCTTGTAATTTCCCATAATTCAAACATTCACAGGTAATATGATGCAAGTAGTGAAAATAGTTGGAGTTTAAAGGAAATACTGAATCCTGTCTGTTTTAATCTTCACTTTGATTTGAAATAAAAAAAACAGGGTAGGTATGCTTGAAATGCAAGCTGGCTACAAAAAGTCAAAAATGATTCAAATATATAGCAGTGCTCACATAACTTTTTGAACCCTCCAGGATTTATTTATTAAATCAACTAGATTTATGTATTAAATATTCATAGCTAAGCTATGAGAAATTGTAAATTTCTGAGTTCTTCACCTAATTAGTTAGATTACAGGCAAAAGTTATCCCTTCAGACTGCTTTAGAGTTTTTGTTGTCCATTATACTCTGGGTGTCCTTAAAGAGGTGTCAAGTCATAAATCAATAAAATAAGGGCATTGCTGTTCTGTCACAATGACTTGCAAATAATTGTTAATTTAAATGAATGTAAGTGGTTTGACCATAAGAGGTTCACATTTTGTGCAGACACTGTGATTCCATTTTCTTCAAAAGTTGTAAATATATATACATATATATGTTTTACTGTGAGCTGCACAAAGCTTGAAGATCTGTCCAGAAAGAAAAAAGATTTTTCAATTTCCATTATATACATCTCCAAATGCAACACATGTAACATATCTATCCTGTTTTTCCCTGACCATGGTTATTCCTTTTTCTCCCTGAACATATTCCTAACCACTGTAGATGAAGGAAAGAACTGAATGTACCTAAAACAATAATTTTTGTGCCACTATGCCATTTAGCTCCTTCTGATATACCTGCTATTGCACAGGTAGAGGAAGTATTTATAGCTGTGTACTTTTTTTTATGTAATTATTTTTTAACAGTATGATGGGGAATATCATGTGATATAACTGCATTAGAGGACACTGATTTACAAGAAATATCATGTATTAGTGGCATTAAGCACCAAGTACAAATGCTCAACAGAAATCTCTGAAATAAAGAAGACAACAAAGGCATTTTATGTTACTGAGACTTACTACTCCCATTAACACCAAAAGTAATCCTCTATGAGTTAGCACCTTTTCTGACAGATTTATGGCCTTGCAAGTTTGGCAAGCAAGAAATAGCTGGTGATCACAGATATTAAAATGTGTATGAAAGAGAATCCAAAAGACCTAGCAGTGCTTACCTTTGACAGGATATATTTGAAAATGAGCACTTTTGGCATCCAAAATACTACAGTTGGTGAATGATGTGCTACTGAGCCCAGACCAGTGTTATTTTTAATTAAATAACAGCAGGATACATACTGAAGCAGGAATCAGTTTTTCATTTTGTTCTTCTTGAAACCTCCAGACACTGCATCCTTTATGGGTATGACTTTTTTCCATACATACGTTGACACCCATATTTCTTTGGTCATTACATATTGCTTTAAGAATATCTACTAAGCTGTGTGCTACAGGAAATAAAGAGGTCCTTCTGCCATCATTTTTCATTCTCCTTAGAAAAAAAAAATCATACAACAGAGATTTAGTTTTAGATTTCAGGCTCATAATACCACAGCGATGCTGATAGTAAGTGTCTGAGTGCAGCAGTGTCAACAGTTGCTTAAGTACAGCACTGAGATAGTAGTAGTATTTATAAATTACATGCCCAATATGGCTGAACTGTGTATGTCAAGTCATTAAAAGCATCTGTAACTTAAAGAGAAATCACTGTAATAACTGTACTGAGAATCTAGTAGTCTACTCTCTCTTGTGAGAATGTATTTAAAAGAATGACCATGTGTCCAACAATACAGAAAACCTGGATAAGTAAGGAAAGGCAGGTTCTTAACATTGATATCCAAGGTCAACATTTTAAAAAGTGTGGACTATTACTCATGGAAATGCACAGTTTAATCTTTAAATCTTTCTCCCAAGCAATTTTGTTGGCTATATTAGCAGTGCTCATCAGAGTAAACAGACTTGGATCAAGCTCCTCTGATACTGTCTTTGTGCATATAAGTTGTATAAACACTGACTGACTAACTCTGGGTTTTGCTTTAACAGTTGTTGTGGATGGTCTTGGATTTCAGTCATACTGGTCCCTGATTCCAAAAGAGAGAAGAGTGGAAGAAAGGGAGTTCCATTTCCTAAAACTGAGAAGCATCTGCTGGAGTTATTAAGAGTTTTTTGACCAAGTTCAACAGCAAGTCACCTTATGGCTGATGGATTCTTCCCTAAGCAATTCAAAACAATACAGTTAGAACAAATTTCTCCTTTCTAAAGAGGCAATATTACGAGGCAAAAGCTATTTTTGTAAGTGGGATAACTTTGCCACCACTCCCCAGTGGTAATAACTGTTAAGCTACTTTTAGCTGCCTGGCTAACCAAGGCTTTTATAGCCCCATTTACATTATTTAAAATACTTTCACATGTGATCCATTCATAGATAGAGAAATCTTTCAAATGACTCATTTCACCTGAAAAACACAAAGGCTTAGAAACACAATTTCTTAAGAAGCTTCAAAGTTGACCAAACTGAGATGTTCCCATTTTCAGTGATTGTTTAAGGTTTTCCTCCTGCAGAGCGATTTAAATTGAGGTAGCAAACTGCATAGATGAAAACAAGCAGACTTTCATCTTATTTCCAATGTTTATGACAGACTGGGCGGCGCTTGGAGGAAGATGCATGTAAAAACAGACCGTAGGGTAAAATACTGGCAAGTCTTCAAGTGCCATAAATTGGGCATGCATCATGCTGAAGGGCCTCCTTAGCAGAGAAAAACAATCCCTGTAGATGCTTATCTCAGAGATGTTGCACGAAACGGCTAAGGATTTTGAGAGAAGTGATTCAGGTGATGGACTTGTTACGCTTTCTCTACAGATTGGCCTGTACCATTGAAAATTAAAGAAAATGTGATAACATTTCTTTCAATAG